GCAGCCGCTGCGAGGCTGCGGGGTCCGGGGCGGGGAGCGCGTGGCGCTCCCTGCGTAGTGAGCAGTGACCGAGGCAACTGCGGCTCACGGCTGAGCCCAGGCGGCGACTTAGGGATTAAATATGTAATACTGGGGGATATATATATGCACACACATATACATATGTGTGTGGGTGTGTTTTACATGTATAATACGCACACACATATATATAGTTATCGTAGTGGAGTCCTTTTGGTGGTGTTATGTCCTGCCATTGGAGGACTAATTAGGAATGTGTGCCTGTGTTTTATTTTCTGGTATGAAATACTCAGTAACTCCGGTTTCTGATGTAAATGCTCCATAGTAGGAGAGGGGTGGCCGTGGTGCTGCGCAGGTGCAGGTGTGTCTGCCCTGCTGGCCAGCGGGATCCGTGACAAGAAATTTGTTCTTTACTTTAAATAGAACGTTGTCCTCGACCACTCATTTCCTAAAAATCCATTCAGTGTAGAAAGAAGCTTTTGATTATCAATATTGCTTTTCTTTCCTTCCTGCAAGTAGCTGTCACTTCAGGCAAAGCCTCCTGCAGATTTCAGAGGAATCACAGCAATTATTGTGGTTTTAGAAAAGACTTGGAGATATCAGGAAAAAAAAAGTTTTTATCATTTCCTTAGATTTATAACCATTTCATCACCTTCTGAAAGCACTACAATTGAGAAGCAAACTTCTGAAGATCTTCCAGACCCTGTTCCTTTATCAAATGGTATAATAACTTTCTAGGATTCAGTAGGGGTGGCTAAAGTACGTTTTAGTATATGACAGCACTTTTAACAGAAAGCAAATAATGTAAATAATTCCAAAACAAGTATTTCTTCCCCAGCTTCCTTCTTTGTACCTCTTCATCATCATTTATAGTCTGTAACTAAGGGTCTAATTATAGAGAAATGGGTTGCTAAGCAAAAATTTAGTATTTTGGGAAACTTCTTGTTCATGGTAGTTCTGAAAACCAATCCAAACCTGTCTTCTAATAGTGCATGTACTGTGTCAGTTAAACAAAATTCTACACAATTAAAAGCAGCTATTGCAAAACAAGTAGGCATTATGTCTGCTGTGCGTCTGACTCATCATCACTAATTCAATTTTCCTAATCTGGAAGGCAACCACTGACCTACAGTCTGCTTCCTTCCTGTGATAAAAGCATCCCAGGACTGTAGACGTTTTAGAATAGCATTAGCACTGTAGATCTTTATAATTTCACCACAAATAATAGTGAAGGCTTCCAGAAAAGCTTAGAAAGGATAGTCTTAGAATAATTGCACAGTGACAATATCAAAGTACTTTTTTTTTTTTTACTAAAGTGTATATGGGTATATAAGGTATTTGAATATTATTAGTACGTGTAAAATTAAAACCAGAGTCATCCATGTCATTTTAATTGTAATTGTGTCAAGATTACTATTACGTCTGCTAGGAAAATGATTGAACCTCGAGAGATAATAACTTATTTTGTGTGTGTGTGTGTGTCTGATGATCAAATCCGAGATTTTCTTAACGGGATAGTTTTTTGAGTTCACGTCAATCACTTTCTTTCAAATCTTCTTCTTCAGACCTAGGAAGAAAGAGAAGAGAAAAGAAGGGAAAAAGGAATAATGGTGTTGTTTAATCCTGGTTTGAACAATGCCAGGAGTCTATCTTTAAAAGATTCAGATACGATCTGTTGCTATTAATCATTCACAGACACTTAAATTAGGGCATAAAATTCATGGAATTCACTCTGTCATACTGAATAACTTTAAATTCTCAGTATTATAAAATAAATTGTTCTGCTAAAAGTAAAGCCCATATATTTGTCAGAATAATGTCCATTCAGGTACCAGTATTAATCTCTTTTTGTTCTATAATGAAATGTAATAAAATTCCTTTTTTTGTGTGCACCCTATCCAAGATCCTTGCTTTTTTTTTCTCCTTATTTCTTCTCTGTCATTGTTGATGTACATGCAAATAGACCGATCCACATATAGTTACTCAGAATTAAATCAATTATCTTTGTCTAAAATTCATACATCAGATCCATGTTAGTTTGAACCATGGATTTTAATGTATCTAGTCATGAATTGAATGAATCAAATATTAAGGTCTTCATAAAAATCTGTATTCAAACACTTAGATTATATAGGTGATGACAGAATGGAAACCTGCATTACTCTTCCTAATCCAATTTGGCCACAGTCTGAGCTCTTATATCTGCATGACTAGTTTCAGGCACTCTGTGCATGTTGTTCAGGATAGTAATATCCAGGATGCCATGAGCATAAGCGTCACAAAAAAAACCCCAAACAAAGAGAAAAAAAGCACAATGGTGAGTGGTAGACTTCTTGCCTATGGTCTTTTTGTTTTATTACAAAAACAAAACTGATACATTTGAAAACAAGTGTGAAGCAACCAGAATTTTCACCTTTTAAGTCAGTGTCAATCTCCATTATTCTGAAGCTATGATTAGGATTTCTGTGTCAATCCCTGTTTGCATGAAAAGTTGGTGAACACTCTCATGGAAGTTCAGAAAAAAAATATACAGTATTGATGAGGTCGGAGTGTGGAAAATGAGTGAGAGAGACACAAGGAAGAAAAGAATACGAAAAAAATGCAAAAGGAACCGGTTTGCCTGAATATATGCCCTAAGATTTTTTTTTTAAATCCTTGTGAATGTTTAGTATTCCTGGCTGAAAGCAGGTATATCAAGAAGTAAAAACATGGTGTGCAGACTTTGTAACATAATGCTGCTAAGAACCTCAGTCTTTACTTTTGTTTCTCCTGCTCCCCTTCCTTCTGAAGACTAATTTCACTTGAAGGCTAAGGTTGAGTTTGGAACTCAGAAGAGGAAGAGCTACTTTATAAGCTGATGGGGACATAATAAATGCAGTGGTTTCACACATTTACTAAATTATCCGACTGTACAGTTGTACAAACCAGCAATAGATTTGAGTGGCAATGTACAAAATGTCGGCCAGCTGAGTCACCGAGTTCTGCATTTGAAAATGCAGTTCAAAACATACAGGAGGTTGATTCAAGTACTGGTTAAACTGTCATGTTCTGTAACAGAATTTGGTTGTAGAAGAGAATTTGGGAGGGAGCCAAACACTGGTTTTGGAAAGACAGAAAATGCAGCAGTTACTGTACTCTTTAGAGCTCAGAGAGTTGAGATTTACCCTTCAGCTCAGCTGAGTGAATGTTCCCTGAATTTTTAAAAACTTCAGTGTTTCTGAAAGTGTCGTGCACTCTTAGCATTGTGCACAGATGGTGGCATGAAGCAGCTGGTTAAGTGTTTTTGAAGAATCTTCTGTTGTGTTTGTTTTTTTTTTCTTTTAACAAGGGATAAAAAAGAAGATTCTGACACTACGATTGGGTTTCTACAGGAATCTATGTTTTTACAGTAAATTGCTTACTTTTGTGCCTCTCTTAAAAATCTGGTATCTGAAATTTCCATGTTCAGAGTGAGTCTCCAGGTCTCTTTACTGCTTCAGAATGAATCTTTAAAAAAAAAAAAAGAAAGAAAAAAAAAAGAAAAAGCTGGTCATTGA